CATATGTACATACACACACGCACGCACACACACGCATACACGCACGCACACACACGCATACACGCATGCAAGTAATAAGACCTTACTTAAAAGTGCTAGAATTAGTCAAGGATAAATACCTTTTCTTTTTTATGTAAAATAGAATTTTTTATTTAGTTTTCCCAAATCTGAGTTCTCTCTCGGTCCAATAAATCTTGTCGAATCTCCATCTTCTCACACAAGAGTGTAGAATGACCCTCTTACCAGCAGCAAATCGAAGATATGACACTTACCAAGTTGAGGAAGAAGCCTGTGCTGAAGTCAGGTTTAGTTTTGTAAGCTTTGATTGGTGCAGAATTTTCAAGTTTCTGTCTATGACCTGTTCTTGCTCATATTATGAAAGCAGACTTTTTCTGTAGGGGAGACTATTTGGGAAGAAGAGGAGGAAAGGACAAAAGTGGTCAACAGAGGGGTACATATAACCAAAGTGCATTATGTATAAATGTCTGAAGATCTCATAATGCGACCCATTTTTTTGTATAATTAATTTATGCTAATGCAACCTAAAAAAGCAGAATTATTATTTTACATTGAAGTTTTGGTTGAAGTTAGCACTAAGTGTGCTGGGCATACTACAAACATTGTTTTATGAAGTCATTTATAAATTTCAGAGGATCATGAAGTTTAGGTAAAACTCCAGAGGCCATACAGTGAGTGGAGACAGAGCTAGATCATGCCCGGGGCAGACCCTCCAGGCTCCATTTCGACCATTTGGAAAAATGTCTACTTTTGTTCTGTACTTTACCATGTTTCCTTTCAATGCACCGGTCAGCTGCTGATCTTAAACCGCACACCCTTCTTGTGTTACTTGAGTATTTCTTGGCCATGTCTGGCAGGACATGTTTGTTTAGGGTATCCCAAGGGTACTTTGACTTGAGAACTATTTGGAAGCTCTTGGATGTATTTTCAGGCTCTCTCTTCTGATCTTTTGGTATTTCTGAAAGAGATGGCAACACCAGAGAGTCATGAATGTTGGACAGAAAAATCTAGAACCTTCTGTCTCATACTCTTTTCCTTATTGGTTTGCCTGAAAATTTCAAGATATTATTTTTTTTTCTGCTGTGTAGTACTTCATTGTATAAATTTACAACATCTTCTTTGTCCATTCTTTGGTCAAGGGGCATGTAGGTTGTTTCCAGATTCTGGCTATGACAAATGATGCTGCTATGAACATAGTTGAGCACATGTCCTAGTGGCATGATTGAGCATCCTTTGTATATATCCAAAAGTAGTATTGCTGGGTCTTGAGAAAGGTTGTTTCCTAATTTTGTGAGTAATCATCATACTGATTTCCAAAGCAACTGTGCCAGCTTGCACTCCCACCAGCAATGCGGAAGTGCTCCCTTTACCGTATAACCTCTCCAGCATAAGCTGTCATCAGTGTATGTAATCTTGGCCAATCTTACAGGTGTAAGGTGGAATCTCAGAGTTGTTTTGATTTGCATTTCTCTGATGACTAAGGATATTGAGCATTTTCATAACTGTCTTTTAGCAATTTTATATTTCTCTGTTGAGAGTTCTCTGTTTAGGTCTGTACTCCACTTCTTATTGGATTATTTGTTCTTTTGATGACCAATTTCTTGAGTTCTTTGTATATTTTGGAAATCAGACCTCTGTCTGATGTGGGGTTGGTTAAGATCTTTTCCCATTCTGTAGGCTGCTCTGTTTGTCTTGTTGACTGTGTCATTTGCTTTATAGAAGCTTTTCAGTTTCAAGAGGTCCCATTATAGTTGTTTCTCTCAGTGTCTGTGCTACTAGGGTTATATTTAGGAAGTGGTCTCCTGTGCCAAAACATTCAAGTGTACTTCTACTTTCTCTTCTATAAGGTTCAATGTTGGTGGTTTTATATTGAGGTCTTTGATCCATTTGGACTTGAGTTTTGTGCACGGTGGTAGATATAAATCTATTTTCACTTTTCTACGTGTTGATATCCAGTTATGTCAGCACCATTTGTTGAATATGCTTCCTTTTTTCCATTTTATATATTTCACTTCTTTGTCAAAAATCAGGTGTTTGTTGGTGTGTGGATTGTTATCTGGGTCTTTGGATTGGTCCTCCTGTCTGTTTTTATGCTGATACCAGGCTGTTTTCAGTACTGTAGCTCTGTAGTAGATTTTGAAGTCAGGGATTGTGATGAGTATTATTCTTTTGAAATGTGTGAGGAATTTTTCTGGGATTTTGTTGGGCATTGAGTTGAATCTGTAGATTGCTTTTGGTAAGATAGCCATTTTTACTCTGTTAGTTCTACCTACCCAAGAGCATGGGAGATCTTCCCATTTTCTGGTGTCTTCTTCATTTTTTTTCTTCAAAGATTTAAAGTTTTTGTCATACAGGTCTTCCACTTGTTTGGGTAGAATTATTCCAAGATACTTTTGTTATTTGTAGCTATTGTGAAGGGCGATGTTTCTCGGATTTCTTTCTCAGCGCACTTATAATCTGTGTAAGAAAACAAAGAATTTTCATTGTGCCAAAAGCCAGCATTTCTTGGGAGCAGCTGAGACGTGTTCATTTGATCTTGATTTGAACATTGGATGAGGGGAGGAAGTGTTGGCTTCTGAGTGAGGGTAGACTGATCCAAGAGGAGAAGCAGCCGTTATCAGAACACCTGCTGACATGGGGTAGCATTTGCTCCATCATTGCAGACTCAGCGCACTGAGTTAGTCTGAGAAGAGTTCCTTAGGACACTTCTGTCATTTTACAGAGGAGCGGATGAAGCACAGACAGGTCAAATGTTTGCCCAGAGCCACACAGCCAGGAAGGGGTCATTCTGTAACCAGAGCCCAGTCAGTCCCGCTATCAGTCAGCCTCCATACAAACACAGTGGAGAGGGAGAAGCTGTGAGGTGGCAGACAGTGAGGAGAGCCGTGTGGCTTGGGAATAAAGGTCAGCGCGGGGGAATTGTGGGAAATACATAGCAAAGGAGTTGGCGGGGCCATGCTATGAAAGGCTTTGAGACAATATGAGCATAAATTTCCTTTGGCAGAAAAGAAGGGGACACCGAGGATGTCAGTGGGGAGCACTGTGGTCGGAGCTAGGTTGCAGGAGACTCAGACTGGAATGCTGTCAAGTATGGAGACAGGGAGAGGTGTGACTTCTTAGGGACCGTGTGTGACAGCATTGACAGTAATGAGGGTCATTACAAAGGGAAGGGGGGTCACAGAACCTAGGAATTCATTGGCCCACCTAGAAAGTATGTTAACCTTTGACCTCCGAGAAAAGCAGTGGTCACAAAGGGTTAACTGAATATGCCTGCTGTGGAGAATTCTTGGGCATTAACATTTTCTACTTTCCTTCAGTTGTATCGGATGTCCTTGTGATAGGAGAAACAGTAGAGACATCAAAAGTACCTTTTAACTCCACAATTCTTTCTAAATTTCTTTAAACTTATAGGCTATACTGCTGATTTGCAGACTTCAAAGTACACAGAAGGATCAGGGTCAGAGAGAAAAATCATTTCTTACAGAGTGATAAAATATGCATGCAAATCCCATGACCTGCCACGGAAATTATTTATGTGCTAATGTGACTTTGTAACATTAATTGCACAGCTTAATGTCCCCCCCACCCTTAAGTTGCTTTTTCTCAGAAGGCTGTGGTAAATAAGGTTTCTTTATTGTTTATTTATTTATTTATTTTTTGTGCTGCTTATGGATTCAAGACTGCCATGCCCTTCTGAGGCATTCTGGCCAGAACACTAAATGGATGCATTTCCTTGGGCACACGTGGGCGCTGTTATCCCTCAATTAGGTCAGCTTTTAAGACTTAATTAGCTTTTACTACCTAATGAGAACGTCATCTCAGCATATATCGGTCATAATTTTCTTCAGAATTAAAACGCTGGTCTTAAAATATTTTTCCGACATGTATGCATGTTCCTCTCCCACTCCCTAGGAGGGAAGAAACCGAGATAAATGCACAATAATGAACAGTCTCCTGCTTTATGTGTTTGTGGGATCCCATTAGTATCGGAATCTCTATGCTTCTGTGGATGAAAGGTTTGTTCTCTATTTGTGTGTCTGTATGCATGTGTGTGTCTGTGGGTGCTCATGAATGTGCAGGTATACATACGAATCTTACCTGTGCACATGAGGCCAGAGATCAATCAACCTTGGACTCTCATCATCAGCTGCCTTCCACCCTAGTTTTTGAGACATAGTCTTACATCGGTCTGAGGCTTGTCAATCATGCCAAGCAGGCTATCCAGGAAACATCAGAGATCTGCTTCTATGTTGGCAGCTGCAGTGAGGTAAAAATCAAGGAGCCCATGGGATTCCAAGTGTGTGCCAGCATGTTGGGCTTTCTCAGGTCTCAGTGGTGATTTCTTGTCTTAATTTTCATAAGGTAGGTGGGCTATGTCCATTCTTGTTGTTGTTGTTTAAGTTTTTTATTTTGTTTTTTCAAGACCAGGGTTTCTCTGTAGTTTTTGAGCCTGTCCTGGAACTTGCTCTGCAGATCAGGCTGGCCTCGAACTCACAGAGATCCTCCTGTCTCTGCCTCCCCAGTGCTGGGATTGAAGGCGTGTGCCACCACCACCTGGCCTATGCCCTTTCTTGATTGTGTGGTGCCCACACAGTTATTTTAAATAGGTCCCCTGACCTTTACAGGGCTTTGAGGCCGTGAGGGAGATGAGTTTTCCCAGTGCTGCCCTGAATGGAGGGTGCGTGTTAGGGCCTGGAGGGGTCTTTGTGAAGGAGAAACGATGATCAGGAGGTCTGAAGGGGGCAGTCTGAGAACCATTATGTGAGAACTCCATCTGGTTCCAAGTTCAGGGACTTAGGACCTGTTGGCTGTGCCGCCTCGGGCAAATCACTTAATAAACACTCTCAGCTCCTATTCCTCAGTTGCTCCACACCGCAGGGAGATTTAGGAGAGCAAGCGAGAAAGTGTCTGCAAAAACCTGTCCCGTGGAAGACGTTCATGCAAGCAAAAACAGTGGTGCCATTTACTGTTCGTCCTTCTAGGTGGAGGAGTGTTATTTACCAAGCTGGAAGCTGAGATTGGTGCACATTGTCTGCACCTGACTGAAGAGCTAAGGCCTCTGGCTGATCGCTTGTCTCTTCCACTGTGGGATTGCAGGCAGGTAATATCTACTTTTGATAGATTTTGTTTGCAAACCAAGAAGAGTGTTAGAAATCTGTGAGGTTTCCTTAAATTTCAACTTGTGAGTCTATAACCATCCACAGGATATACTTCTCGGTTTTTCAAAGGGAGGATGAAGCATGTTATCCTCTATTTGTTTCTTATGCCTATAAACTAATTCAATTACACATAGTCTATAATATCTCTCATAATTTCTCTCCCCATATGTTGGTTACTGTTTCTAATGAAGAGTTCTATAGACAATTACGAAGTATCAAGGATTAAATTCAATCAGGATTCTAGAGAAACCCCTTTATAGCTGAAGACAAAATTGCCTTAGGCTGCTTTGCAAATGATCATATCTGCATCATATGATAGCTTACAAATCCATTCAGAATGCTCCCTCAGTTATTTGGATAACTATCTGGAGCTTGCCTCCGAATTCCAGTCCTAGAGAAGAGGCATCCCCAAATAGTCACCTACAAGCTTTGAAAATTACATTATGTTTTTAACAAATGTAAGTGATATCACCAAAGGGGAAAAGATCTTTATTAAGAAAATAAATTACAACATAAACAGGCATTTCGGAAAAGCATCCAGCATATACAAGATTCGCTAGTCATCCGAACTTTTTGTGGCTACGTTAACAGCTGTAGGGTATGAGCAGGACTTTGTTGTAATGAATAAATAGAAATTTGAAAGTGGAAGATAGGTGAGCTGCTCTTTATTACTATGGAAATATTCCTGTCCGTTTCCCAAGGGGTTTGAAGTCTCTAGAAGCTTTGTTAAAAATGCAGCACCACAAAGGAGTGGGGAGATGGCTTTTGGACACTGCCAGTCCCAATGCAAATTTGTGCCTTCTGAGGAACTACCTGGGAAGATTGCTGTTTCTCTCTAGCTTTAGAGGGGGATAATTGGCAAGCATCCCATAGTTTTATGGTGTACAATATGATGACTTAATAGAAAGAGAGAGGGGAGGAAGAGGGAGAGAATGAATATTACCTATCACAATCAAGCTAATTAAGACATCCTTCAGTTACCTCATGTAGTTAACACTTCCACGCACGGATGGTGAGGTGGTGAGGATATTGAAGGTCTACTCTCAGCCAATTTCAGCCACACAATAAATATTATCAACTATAGACAGCATGCTGTACATTATACCGCTAGGACATGTGCATCTAATACATAGAAGCGTGAACCTTTTGCTATATAATATCTCATTCTTGCCCAGTCCCATCCTTCCTGGTCACTAGAGCTCCCATTCTGTTCACTGTTTCTGTGTTAGAATTGTTTATTTTTTTTTGATTCAAACAGTTTTTTTTTTTATCATTTTGTGTCTGATTTACTTCACTTAGCATGATATCTTCTGGGTTCATACATATCAAAATGATATCAAAATGTCAGTTTTCTTCTATTTCTTATAGCAAAATCACACATGCATGCACATAGGCACACACACACACGCCTGCACGCATACACACATACCCACCCAGCCATTGATGACATAAATAAGAATCCTGCATGTTGTAATGCAAGGATAAAATCACACACACACACACACACACACACACACACACACACACACACACACACACACACGTGTTAGCCCAGGCTGTCCTTGAACTTACAGTGGAGAGTAGGCTGTCCTTGAACTTGTAATCATTCTGCCTTAGCCTCTGTAGTGCAAGGACTATAGGCTTGTACCACAGCGTTCGATTTCGATGTGTATTCTTACCGCCCTTGTCAAATGTAGTTGACCATAAATATAGGAGCTGTCAGTTTGGTTTAACAGAGAGACACATTGGGCCATGGGTTCATTTTTATGCTAGTGCCCATTCTGCTTCCATTCTATGATTTACTTGGCAATATAGTTTGAAATCAGAGACTATGAGGCCTCTTGTTTTGACTCGATTCTGTTTTTGCTATTCGCTTCTTTCTTTTCTCACGATTTAGTGTCCCTTGAGAGTCCACATGAGCGTCAGGGTCAGTTTTTCTGTTCATGAAAAAGTCTTTTCTCTCTCTCTCTCTTTCTTTCTTTCTTTCTTTCTTTCTTTTGAAACAAGGTCTCACTTTGCAGATAAGGCTGGCCTAAAACTCACAGCAATGCCCCTGCCTGTGCCTCCAGAGCGCTGGGATTAAAGCTTGCACTCCATGCTCAGTTTCATGGGGATTTTGACTGCACTGACCACTACATTGCTGTAGGTAGTGTTGGGGGCTGGGAGCTGAGGTATTGAGGGCCTAGAATACATTATGTAGCCTCTACCCTGTGTCTCTGGTCCTCTAGCCTAAAAGCGGCAATTCATCTAACTAACAGGAACAGAATGCATTTCCATCCACTCATATCTTCTTCAGTTTCTTTCACTAATATTTTATGATTTCCCTTGGGCAAGCCTTCACATCTTTGGTTAAAAAGTTTTTTGTATTATTGTGAATTAGATTGTTTTTGTAATTCCCTTGGAATTTGTTCATGGTCGGTGTACAGAAACATAACTTGTTTTACGTGTTAAATTTATATTCTGCTATTTTACCGAATTTATTTTATTTTAATTTTTTTTTATTTTCTGAAACAAAGTTTCTCTGTTACTTTGGAGCTTGTCCTATAACTAGCTCTGTAGACCAGGCTGGCTTTGAACTCACAGAGATCCGCCTGTCTCTGCCTCCCAAGTGCTGGGATTAAAGGCGTGCGCTACCACTGCTTAGCTTTCATTGGTTATTTTAAACAGTCTGTGTGTGTGTGTGTGTGTGTGTGTGTGTGTGTGTGTGTGTGCGTATGTGTGTGCGTGCGCATGCGTGCGCGCGGCCGCGTTTGCCGTTCTCCTACATAGAAGACTGGGTTCTCAGATAAGTGTCACTTCACATTCCTTTTTAGTTAGGACGCAGCCTCCATCTCCCCTCCTTCTCCTTTTCTTTCTCCTTCCAGTTCCTTCCTTCCTTGCCCTCTCTATCTTTCCCTCCCTTCGCCCTTCCTTCCTTTGCTTCCTTTCTTTTGCCTCTACTTATTCTCCTCTCCTCTCTCTTCATGTAACTGCTTTTGCTAGAGCTCTCCGCACTGCCCTAAATAGAACTGATGTAAGCAGGCATCCGTGTTTTGTTCCTGATCTTAAAGGAAAAGTTCTTAGAGTTTGACCACTGGGTATGAATTTTTATATAGTGTTCATCACGCCAAATTCTAAGCTTGCCTCTCCTCCTTGGTTACTGGATACTTTTAAATGAAAGGGCATTGGAGAGTGTCAAATGCTTTTCATGCACCAATTGAGGCCATGTGTTTTTCTTTTTTATTTTGTTAATAGTTATATTACACTGATTGACTTTTCATATGTTGCCTTGTCCTTGCATCCTAAGAATAAATCCAATTTAATGTGTAATCTTTTTAATGCAATGCTGAATTCATCTTGCTAGTGGTTTGCTGACAGTTTTTACAATGATGTTCCTAGGTGATACTGGTGTGTAGTGGGTTTTTTTTTCTTTTAGTGTTTTCATTTTGATATTCTGGTGATATTAGCCTCATAGAATGAGTTGTTTTCTTTAAGGGTATGGCCTCTGGCAGGCGGGTCAACCACGGTCCAGTGGATGGCTCAATGCTCATGAGTATATAACTAGCACAAGTTGAATTCATCAGCATACTTAAAAAAGAGGATATGACATTGGGAGAATAGGGTAGATCTGGAAGAGTTAGGAAGAGGAAGAGGGGTGAAATATAATCAAAATTCATTATATGCTTGTATAAACTCTCAAATAGTCAATAAAATTACTGCATTAAAATAAATAAAAGTTAATTTTATTTAAATGCAAACAAGATGAGCTAAAGTGAAAAGAAACAAACACCTATGCCCACAAAGAGCGTTGAATGTAAAAGTTTAAAGAGGTAGTATTAATTTTCATTTATTTCCTTTTACTCAGTTTTTAATTGACTGGGTTGTATTTGCTTACAGTATATCAGTATCATGGAGCTTTGAAATACAGATAATTGTGGAGTGGCTAACTCAAGCTAATTAATGTAGATATTACCTCAAATAATTCTTTGTTTGTGATAAGAATGCCTGAAACCTACTATTCTAGAAATTTCCAGGGTCTGGGGAAATGACCAAGTAGGGAAAGCACTTGCTAGTACAAACACGAAGACTTGAGTTCAGCTCTCTAGAAATCGGGGAGAGTCAGATGTAGTAGCTTACGTCAGTAACCACAGAGCACCTACAGTGAGATGGGAGACCGGACAATCTCTGGGATATGGGCCAGCTAGCCTTGTGTGCACATTGGGGAAGTCATGAGACTTTGTTTCACACAAGGTGGAAGGTGAGGACTGATCCCCAGGTTATCCTCTGAAATGCCACACACATTCCATGGAAAACACAGGAACACAAACATTCTCATTCACATACATATACAGACACACACACTTCCAGGTATTTGATGCCTTGTTATTGACTATATGAGTGTTTATAGTGGTAGCTTCACAGTAGCCAGAAGGCACAAATAATTCTAAGTCTATCAATTTATGAATAGATTAGTAAAAGTACATATTTACAATGGCATCCCACTCACCAGTAAAAAGGAATAAGATAATGATGTATGTTATAACATGGATGGTCCTCAGGAGTGTTATGCTCAGTAGAAGAAGTTACGTGCAAAAGACCACATAGCACATTATGCCTGTGTAGAGTTAGCTTTTCATGGCCATACCCAACAGATGGCATCGTGAAACTTTAAGGAGAAAAAGGTTATTTTGGTTCAGTTTCAGGAGATACAGTCTATACCTGTGTGGCTTCATTGCTACATACTGAAAGGGTGCTGGTCACCAGTGGTCATACTGAGTCTGGGTTTCTTTATTGTGTTCAGATCTTATGCCTTGATTCTAAGAACTCCATAAGCCACAGTCATATTGAAACCCATTGGTTACAAAACAAAACCTAGATCCCAGGGGGAGAGTTAAGATATTTAGACAATCACCTTTGCACAATGTGTGAGTATGCCCGAAGGAATTCCTCCAGTGTTTTATGG